CTGTCCTACAACTCCCTGTCCCAATGAAAAGAACAGCCAAAGTCTGAAGCAAGGAAAAAAACTTGTGTCCACATAATGAAGTATTCATAATCTTGTCTTGTAACTGGTTACTAGGAGTGTGTAGTCCGTATTTTCTAGCAAATAATGACAAAACTTTATAGTTGTCAATGTGCACCTCATATTCAGGGAATATATTTAATTGCAACTAATATATATGTTTAGATAATAGAAGAGATTTGTAGGTGGACACTGAATGATAATAAAGCAAATTTTATGTTTTGCAGTTATACTGACACAACATTAAACAATTAGTATTAGAAATGATGGGGTAGTTTTATGCTTTTGTCTTTTCCTTTTACTCTGTATATTAATATGAAAACAGCATATGTAGTGGCAACAGACTCACAGACTCATAGATATGCAAAAGAGACAGAAAGACTGAAATTTTGGTACATTTTACTTTCCCTACATTAGGGGTTTCCACCAAGCAGGTTTGTTCATCTTGCTTGTCTTACACATTTAAAAGAATTCACAGACCCCAGAGTTTTGGACCAGAGGTTGAAAATCATATTTGTGTGTCAGGAGATTACTGAAGATTGTAGATTGATACATTTTGATACATTTTCAGGATTTGCATGCTTCAGCTGGAACTGCTGATGAGTTTGAATGTAGCTTTGCTAGGTTTATATATACATATACATATATATATATATATATTTCATTGCTATTGAAGAATTAATTTGAGTTGTATCTGTGGAGCTGCATGTATGGAACAGATGCTTGTCCAAGGTAACCAAATTCAATTTTTGGATTTTTAGTTATTTTTTACAAGGGTGTGTGGTGACAGGACAAAGGGAATGGCTGTAAACTAAGAGAGGGTAGGTTTAGATCTTATTTAGATAAGATATTAATTCTTTATGTGAGGGTGGTGAGGCACTGGAACAAGTTGTTCAAAAAGGTTGTAAATGTCTAGAAAAAGCCAAGTGTTGGATGTGGCCCTGAGCAATCTGGTCTAGTGGAAGGTTCCCTGCCCACGCCCATGGAAGGGAGGTTGGAACTGGATGAGCTTTAAAGTTATTTCCAAACCATTCCATAATTCTGTGATTCTCAATGATTTGTGATAGCATTTATACTGGAAGTTGCATTAGGCATTAACTAAATCTCATGCTTTTGTACAGAATTGACTGTTGAATAAACAGAAAAGAGAAATGCCTTCTTTCAGAGATGTCACTGACTGTTAAAACTGCATTGTTTTCATCAAAACGTTGCTCCTGATAGAAAATATTTTAAGCAGAATAAGGCAGAGTCACACGATCTTCAGCTCGGAGGTTTTCAGCGGGGAGCTGTGCCCTCTGCTGTTGGCTTGAGCACAGTGAAGGAATAGCAATAAAGCAGCAGCCTGAATACTTTTGACCAGAAACATGGGTAAAATGGGACAGCTCAAAAACGTCTTACAACTATTTTTATAGTGTAAGATTTTGTCCCAAATCTATTTGTAATATGAGGATTTTTTAAAAAATTCTACAGAATATTCAAGTTTCATTGTAAATTGCATCTGGTGGCTAAGAATATTTTTTTATTTCTCATCGCCTGAGAGACTCATCAGTGAAAACCAGGTGCAGCAGAACTTTTGAGATGGATTTTTTTCTCACTGATGAAGCATTAAAATTCATGATTTCTTCTGAAACAAAAAGAAAAAAGTAGAAAAAGTACCAACTCTTCTATCAAGATGGAAGTACAAAACCAAAAATTATATGGTTACTGGAAAGGTTATTGTTCTTTTTATTATTGTTGAACTTTTTTTTCATCAAATACTGCTTGAAATCCAATTCAAAGCTTATTTTTCTATATTACTGGCTTACTATTCTGCCTGTAATTTGCCATACCTTCTAATTTTACTGTCCGCATTGGTGATTGTCACTAAGAACAATTTCTATAAGCCTGTGAGGGATAAACTTCTTCTTTCACAATTTCTCAACAGAGTTCTCTTGAAAGGGACGGGGGGGAAAAAGTCTTAATTTCAGTTTCAACTATTTGCTGCTATTCTAGACTATTTTTCTCTTTGAGCTACTGAGCTGCTGGAATCCAGACCAAATGCCACAAGCATAGTGCAGGCTGGAGAAGTATCCAAACTGCAAGATGGGAAAGGGATTAAAATCCCTCTCATGGTTAGAGATCAGATTTGTGTCCACTTGAGGAACCTGAACATACAGCAGTCTATGGGATGTTGAAATAAATCCCAGAGTCCTGAGGGAATTGGCTGATGTAGTTGCCAAGCCACTCTCCATGACATTATAAAAATCATAGCAATCAGGTGAAGACCTAGGTGACTGGAAAAAGGGAAAAATTGCACCATTTTTCTAAAGGGCATAAAGGAGGATCCTGAACTACTGTCTTGTCAGCCCTACCACCTGGGAATACAACAGAATAGATCTTCATGGCAGCTATGCTGCATGGAGGACAGAGAGGTGAATCAGAACATCCAGCATGGCTTCACCAAGGGCAAGTCCTGCCTGACAAACTTAGTGGCCTTCTGTGATGGAGTTGACTACATCAGTGGACAAGGGAAGAGACATGGATGTCATCTATCTGGACTTCTGTAAGGCTTTGGGCACAGACCCCCACAGCATCCTACTCTCAGCTGGAGAGAGATGGATTTGATGGGTGTACTATTTGGTGAATGAGGAATGAGGAACTGGTTGGACCATGGTATCAAGAAGAGGGCAGTGGTCAAGGGTTCAATGTCCTGATGTATGTCAGTACCAGGTGGTGTCCCTCAGGGGTCCACATGGGGATAAGCACAATTCAATGTTTGTTATCACTGACACAGGCTAAGGGATCAAGTGCATCCTCAACAAGTTTGCAAATGACACCAAGCTGAGTGGTAGGGTTAACACACCTGAAGGATGGAATGCCATCCAGAGGGAACTGGACAAGCTTGAGAAGCCAGTCCATGAGAATCTGAAGAGATTCAACAAGGCCAAGTGCAAGGTCCTGTACCTGCGGCAGGGAAAACCCTAGTATTATATAAATTGGGTATGAAGAGACTGAGAGCAGCCTTGCCATGAAAGGCTTAGGGCTGCTGGTGGATGAGAAGCTGGAACTGTCCCAACAACGTGAGCTCGCACCCCAGAAAACCAACCATACCAAACACGGAGACACAAAAATGAGTAGAGGACACTTCCCCTGCAAAGAAAGAGTTGTGCTTTTTCAGCCTGCAGAAGAGATGGCTCCAGGGAAACCTCACTACTCAGTACTATTCAGTACTTTAAGGTGGCCTTTAAGAAAGATGGGGATAAACTTTTTAGTAGGGCATGTAGCAATAAGACAAGGGTTGATGTTATAATTGACAGAGGGTAGATTCATATTAGATAAAAGAAGTTCTTTACAAAGAGTGCTGAAACACTAGCACGTATTTCCCAGAGAGGTGGTGGATGCCCCGTCCCTGGAAATACTCAACTTAAGCTTGGACAGAACTCTGAGAAATATGATCTAGATGAAAATACCCCTTCTCATTGCACAGGGGTTGGAACTAGATGGTGTTTAAGGTTCCCTTCCAATACTCTATGATTTTATGATTCTATGATAAGTGTATCCACTTGTTTGATGGTGCATGGACAGCCTGGCACAGTGAAAATTGTCAGTACCTTTCCTTTTTTCACCAGAGTGTGTTTGAAACCTACTGCATAGGCAACCTAAGTATCATATTTGTTAAGAACCAGAAACAGTTTCAGGAATGTCACAGAATTTACCCCAGAGACATTAGACCAACTCTGTCACCTACAGGCACTCCATCTCTATTTGCACTCAAAACCCCCACCTTTGCCTTGAGTGGAGTTCTTATAGATGTGCAACTAACAAACATTGCAATTGGGAAATTCTAGTGTGTAACCTGAAGTATCTGAATGTGAGGAATGATCAGGATTTAATGAGAATTGTAGAGAAATTGAGCAAGGTTTTTGCAAGAAGTCATACATATTTCATAACCATCTTCAACGGTGGACATCCCACTGGGATGTGAACGAGCTTTGTGATGCCTCCTCCCCATCTTTGCAATTCCCCTTCCTAAAAAGGAGGGGGAATTAGTTGTTTTTAATAGATAAATCTTGATATCTTTTTTAATCTTAAATGAACATCTGCTTTTGCAAATTTCTGATAAAAGTGCCTCAAAATGTCAAAAACATGGCATGCTTTCCCTGTTTCTCTGAGTTTGTGCTGCAGTTTAGCACATTCCACACTCCCTACTACCATGAAATCACACTTTGTACCAACTTTGTTATCCTACTCCTCTCACAGAGGTGCAAAAAGATAAACTCTGCTATACTGCCAAAGCATGAGAGAGAATTGTGTGAGTCCCAGGCCAACAGACAAGGCTCCAGGTCTCCTTTCAGTTTGAAGTAAGATTTTTCATCTGTTTTCTTCCCAGAGATGGCCTTGAAAATCTGAAATGTGAACAGACTGAGATGGAGGCAAGGAGCCAAGGAGTTGATCTCAGCTTGAGAAGAGGCAGAAAGCAAGTGTTGCTGAATGGAGACAGGTGCATGATGGCACTCCTGCACATTCATGCTCCTAACCTATTCAGAAAAGAAGAAATCCTGAAAAGAATCTTCCTATCCCTTACCATCTCCCTGGCCATTGTCCATCCCATTGCAGGCTGACAGAGCAGGAATGTGGGAGACCGTGAAGGACTCTCCCAGTTATTTCACTTCAGCTCTGAAGAACATCTTTACCTGACAGGACAGATAGTTAGAAAATCAGAATTGTTCCTTTTGTGAAAAATTCATATTCTGTTTGTTTCTTTGCAGTTTACCCTAATTACATGCTTCCCAGTAACAGTGTCTTGAAAAATGCCCACTCTTATTTGAAAGGACTATACCCTTGTTTTCTTTAGTGGAAGATTAAAACCACTCAGATGATCTCAATAACATCAGTCTTTGACAGCTTCTTGAAGTGACAAGAAAACAGATCTAAGTAAAGATATTTTGGCTTCTGTGTTTTAGAAACTGAACCAAAGAAATGTGAAGAGGAGGCTGGCAGATGGAAACAAGAAATGGAAAACCCACAGGAAAAGTATCTAAGATGTGTAGAATAATATGGCACCAGACTGGATCTGAAGATGTGGGAAGATGGAAAGGAAATATATGTTAGGACAACCTGGTGAGATTAGAGTTCTAGCTTCTGGCTGCCTTACTTGCACACCTTGAGTACCTCTAATCTGTATACACTAAACAAGGTTATCTTAGCTTTGCTTGATGGTAGAAACAAAAGCGTTTCTGTCCTTTACAATAATCATTCTGTACTTTGATGGGGATGCTAATTTTCAGTGAAGGACAGCCCTTCTCTTCCTGGTCTTTGTATTGCTCTCTGCCACATACAGCAACCATTGAATTTTGGTTCTCTGTTTGTCTTATTACAGAAGTATTGCTCTCAATATTTTTTTTAATTGGCCATGTGGTGCTATTGTTGTCTTTGCACTAAAACTTGCTGTTCTCGTAGGAAGGTTAATCTTGTCTAATGCAAGACTTTGGACTTCAGATATATTATTTTTTCTCACTGTTTTATTTTACTCTTACTGAACATCAGCATATGGTGTACATTAATAGTTCATATACATTAACCCTAGACATTTCTTTCTACATGGCCAACCACTTCAAAAGTGTATTTCATCCAGAGACTACTGAGAACACTGGTTCTACTTCTTTCCCAAGTTTATATCAGTAAGTGAAATTAAATTCTAGCAAGCATTTTAAGAGTGAATTATGAAAGCAGCTCTTATACTAAGTAAAATTAATATTATTTTATTATATTTTATGAAATATATGTGAGATATTTTGAGGTTGTTATTTCTGCAGGAGGTTGGACTAGATGATTTTCTTGGGTCCCTTCTAATCTGAGTCTTTTTATGATTCTGTGACTGGAATGTTATAAAATACTTCTCTATCTCTATAAAAAAATACTGGAACACTAGATAAGAATATTGAGTTCCTGTTTTATTCTATTTATTTTCTAGGAACAGATAAGGAATCATACATCGTCCTGTATAGAGAATATGTCCAGAATTAAAGACAGGAAGAATGAGTCAGAAATGTAGGCATCGCCTTGGGAATTTTGAACGTGGATGTGCAATGATTTTTATAATTCCTTACATTTGGATTAGGACATACATAGATAATGGCTGTTCTCTAAATTTTTATCTGTAGTGAAAACCAGCATGTGAATAAATTAAAACAGACAACAGTCCAAGATTTATCACTTTGTTAAGATAAACTAATAAAATGGAGAGCTCAGATATGTGTATTTATAGAAAAAAAAAAAAAGAGTATCCAGTAAGCAATGGTGTGGGATGTTGCAAGATGGGGATGATCTCAGTTATTACAAACAGGAGACTAGAGCTAAATGAAGGGGATTATAAAAGCTATAATTAGCTAATGCTTCCTAAAAGCCTTACCTAAACTGTTGAGGTTTTTCCATTCCAAAGCACAATACCATACAGAGATCACATATCATGTAGTAAGTACAGAAAGAAAAACAAACCTTATACAAAAAGTATTGTCTTCAATTATTTCAGAGCAATCTTTTAAACATTTTGGAACAAATACTTTTCCTTTAATGATGCTGTGATTGCTGAAGGATTGTTTACTTATTATATTGGAATATAACAAACACATTACAATCAAATGTCACCAAGTTATGTTGGTTTTATTTACATGCTTAGAGATGATGCTTTAATCTCTAATTTGTGGTGTAAATTCTGAAGAAAACAGATGGGTTGGTGAAGAGAATGGAATCCCTTGTCTAGTAAAAGCAAGCTTACTATTCTCAGGAGTGATTTCAGTGCTGTTTTACTTATTGTTTACAAATATTAACATGTTAATATAAAAACTCTAGAAAGGATGGCAATGTCTGTTCTGCGTGAATCTTATTCCCTGTCTGTAGAGGGTTTTCAAAGTGTGCAAATATACAAACCCTGACTGAGAATAAGTAAAGGGGCACAGGAGATCTTTCTTTTCACAGAGAGCCAGCACGTCTTGCCCTTTATTGTCAACACAAGGGCAACAGAGGGAAGCACCAGAGAAGAAGGAGGACTATGAGCAGTGCCAAGGCTCTTCAGAAGTGTGGTTAATGCTGTTTTACAAAGGACAGGCAGTTTGTACCGTCTGCTAGAGATGTGAGAGAACAAAAAGTGCCTTGCTGAGACATACATAGACTAAACAGGGAAGCTCAGGCTTGAGTCTCCCAAGTTCCCCCCAGCACACTCAAAGAACATCTGGTAAACTAATTCAGTAACAAGACCAAGTTACATTAATTTTTAAAATAAATTCACTGTTTCTTTAAATGCATTTTTTTTTTTTTACTTTAAAAGCAGACAACTGCTATTTAAAATAAACCTCCAATATCTGTAGTAACCAAAAACGATATTTACTTGAACTGTGTCTATAAAGTGTACAAGTATGAGCACTCCAGCTAAAACAAAGGATTTGGCTATGATCTTTAAATTCTTCACATGCTTAAATTCTTGGTTAGGTTGGCCTTTTGTGCTGGATGACTTAGCTGTCCAGCAGCAGTGCTTTTCTCTAATTTTGGAAGCAGAGGAAGGTCTTACAACCATTTTGCCCTATACAGCACAAATCTGTCACTGTGCAACAGTGCATCAGTGGCCCATTGAACTTCACTGTTCTCCCCCATTGTACTAAATAAACGAAAGCTTCTGTTATGATGCCATAGAAGCAAATGACTCACTGAATATTTGACTGTCTAGCTACAGAAAATCTTAGTCTTTCTGAGTCAGTGCTAAGAGTTGTTTTCTGTTTGAATGATAGATAAGTACAGCTTAAGGATCCATAAGGAGGTTTTCTCCACCGGGAAGATGTCTTGCCTTCACAGAGGCACTGAAGCTATAGTGGGGACTGTTGAAGCAAACACATCAGTTTCAAATGTATTTTTTTCTGAACACCAGCAGAACTCTCATAATACCAAATGGCTCATATTTATCTTCACTCTTGCAGTTGGGTTCTGTATATAAGCACAACTGACTATTAAAATATAAACCTTTTGTGGAAAAGCACAGCCTGAATGTCTGTTTTCCCATATTACAGGATGTTTAGTAGAAAGTGTTACATGATATTAGTCTGTGTACTACCACCCAGAAAAGTTGTAATATTGTCAAAAGCAAAAGACTGCTGTCAAAGCTGATAAATCCAGTAGGGCTTAATGAAGGTGTTGTCTGTCTATAATGAAACAAGGAGACTTAAGATGCCTTTTTAAAAGTACTTTTGGGATTATATCATTGCCAGTCCACATGAGATTCTTAAGATCGCAAAATTTGTGTTAGGTAAGGATTGCTCGACTTCATGGACTATACATCCAGCTTCTGAAGTTAAATTCTTTGTGTTTCCTTGTGGTTTGGGTAGATTATCTGTTATTTTACCATAATAAATAATTTTTTACAAGATTACAATTTCTAATTTTATTATACTCAAAGTTGTTTTCAAACTCAGACCTTTAATAAACTCAGAGAAGTAGAAATACAATGCATTCAGCATCTCTGAATTTATAGCTAAACAAATGCTATTGGTCTTGGAATACACAGATGAAAATTGTTGGCCTGTTGCCCAATCATGTGTGTAAGACCTATAATTGAAACACTAAGTTCATTGCCTCTCCCATAAAAGGTATAGTGATGCAAGGTTAGAAAAATATTTTCCATGTCTAATGCCCTAAAATACTTTGCTATAATTTCTGTAGAGAACCTTTGCAAAAAGCACATGATTAAAGCTGGAATGCCCAGCTGGAATGGAAGAAGACTGAATAGTGAAACTAACTTTACAAACACCAATGTTTAGGGATACAAACTGAGAAGGATTAACATGAATTTCAGGTTGTTGTGGGTGCTTGATCTGCTGTTTGTTCCATCCAGCATGCTGCTTACTGACTACAACTCTGCAAGAAAAGAATGAAATAGATTGGTGATGTTCTGCAGTGGGGACACCCAGAACAGGCCAGATTTACCCCTTCAGTAAAGGTGTTCCTGTAGCAAGTAGCTAGCCAACACTTAGCATTTGTGCAGCCATTTTGATGAGTAACAGAATTTGCAAGAATCATATTATTAATCTTTAACACAGTCCTGTGAGGTAGAGAATAGGGTGCTCTACTCTCTGCATGGCTACAGCAATGCGAACACTGGCCAGGGACTGACAACCACAGCTTCTCAGAGGAGATCACTGTTTGAGATGGGACTAAATTTAATGGCTTCTCATTTTTTGTCATATCCCTTTCATTACAGTTGTGATGTCCTGGAGGAATTTGTTTTTTTAATAGATGGGAAATCTTTCTTCTGTCATCTGTAGGATGTTTGAGCAATTGGCAGATGTTGACTGACTATACAAGCTGCCAGGATTGATGGGCTTGAGACTTCTTATAGGCATTTCTTGATCTGTGATCTTTCATTATCTTATATTTAATCCTTATTTCTCCATTTCAGCTGAGAATATTTCTTAAAATTAACCAGTAAGATGTACTAACAAATAATGTCTGTTTCATATTATATCTTTGTTGTGCAGTAGTGAACTGGTGCATTATTCATGTTCTCAGAGAATGCACCTGAACACAAAGGTTACATTGATCTCAGTTCTGAGCAAGTCATTATAGACATTTTACAAGTCTATAATGGTTGACTATAGAGAGCTTTTTGGCATCACTAGAATTGAGAGAAAGACATCCACTCAGCACCAAGCAAATGTGAAGAACAAAAGAGAATTATTTATATTGTCAACTACTTTCCACAGTCAAAAACATGTTCTCCAATGACAGTGACTAGGATCTGTGCCTGTGACTATCTGGGGAGGATGCACAATCTCCACTGCTGGAAGTGCCAAAGTCTGCAGATCCAGATGGCTACCAGCATGCTCCGGGTTCCAAGCTAGGATAATAAAATACATTTCATTGCTCACTGTTACTGAACTCTTAATGTGTTGGATTATAGGCCAGGACCATTACTGCAGTGGCAAAAATAGCAAATATCAGAGGGCACCTCTCATGTCACTCCTTGGTATGATGAAGATAGTGCTTCCAAGAAAGTCTGAAATGCATCCCAGTGCAACAGTAGTCACTGTCTTTCTTACAAGGATGAAGCATAATTGCCTTATTTACCTCTAGTTTGTCATATCAAAGCCCTTACTAATCTTCTTTGCAGACAAGTTAGGAAGATCAGAGAATTTGTGCTGGAAAATATTCTGTCCTTGCATAGGAGAAGTTACACAATGACATAAAAGGTTTATTAACAAAACCCCTCAATCAGAATATTCAAACTGGCCTATTACATTTGACTGCTTTTATAAACACCCTGAAGCATCCTTAAGGTCAAGAGTGAAGAACTTAGTTCAGAAAAGGTCTGAATACTTTCTCCCCATACTTCAAACATATTTCTGTACCTCAGCGCTACTGTGGGTATGTGATTAAGTTCACTGAAATTGCTTATGAGAATGGAAGGTTGATTGGATCACTTAAAATATATCTGACATCAATCTTAAACCAGCCATGAAGTCTTTGCATCCATTCAGGTGAATTAAAAAAAAGAGTAAGGTTGTATTTTTCTTTTCAAAATACATAATGTAAAGATTCATTAAGCAACCAATGCATTTGTAGAGAATGGAGAGTAACACCATGGAGAAATTTTTAAAGAGATACTGCGGAACATGAAGACACAGAAAGGTAGGACTAAAGAAAGATAAACTAGCAAAACCTTTTTTTTTGCACTGACAAATCACTGTGCTGAGTCATGCTAAACTGTGAGACGAACAGCATTTCTGTTGGCTGCACTGGCATCTTTAAAGTAGAGATGCATTTTAGAATCCATAGCCCAGGCCTGCATGTGGTCATATTAGAGAAAGCTGAATATTGCATTGGAGCCTATCAAGATGAATCAGTATAAATTCAGATAAATGAGACTCAGAATGCAGAAGATGAAATCTGAGGATTTTGTCCATCAGACTGTAACATACTACCAACTGCAAAATGGGACACTGCTCTATTATTGTATCCCCAGACCAATTTTTAAAGATTAGATCTTAGGATCACTGCATATCATTCTTCCAATCGGCTTCTGTAGGATTTATTTTAAAAAGCCTCAATTTATGACAGATTGCTAATTTCTTAAACTGCTCTGAGAAGAACATTAACATTCCCAGCCAGTATTGTTTCTAGGTTGCTAAAGTCTTTTTTGTTAGGTTTTTTCCCCTCTCTTCTGGTAATACCTGCTGTTGTTCAATATGTGTGACAAGCATGGGCTTCCTAGCACTGACTTCTTTTTTATTACATACTACTTACACTTGCAATGCACATATAAATGTTTATACTTACACACATCCAGTTACCTTTTCATTATCTACAGACAATTCTTTCAAAGTTGCTTTCTGGTCTCAGAGTGAAATTTTGACTCCATTGAAGTGAAGCACAGATATTGATAGAAATGGGATGATATTCTCTGACCTTTCAAAGTTCACAAATTGTATGGATTCAGAAGGAGTGACTCTCTGAAAACTTTGAGAAACATACACAGAATTTCTGGAAAATGTCTATGTGATGAAAACTCTTCTGCCTTCAAGACCATATCTCAAGGGCTGGAAACACATGATTTTCTTATAAAATTATCTTTTAGGAGGATGCATCTCACTGGAAAATATGTGTGAAGTATTTCAGATTTCCTGCATTCATGGAGATGCCTCTTATAGGACTCTTATGAACTCCTCCAGCCATGTTAGCATTTCTGTGGCCTGGTTACAACTGTTCCAGGCAAAGCTACTGCCAGAGTATCTTGCAAGATAAAGGTCATACATAAAACTCTACCTCAATTTAGAAGAGTTGCCAATCTACTGGAATTTCCAAACAGGCACATACGGACCTTATAAAAGCAAACAGTACAGGTCAAACTCTTGTACTTGGATTATTTCAAGTCAGACTGTGCCAGTGTATATAAAAGTAGACAGCCCAGCTCAGATTTGGATTTCAGTGAGTGCCATACAAGCAAAGCTCTATGGGAATCAAGAGGAGAGTCATATTCCTGCAGAGTTTATCTGTTCAGTTTTTCAGATCTGGAAGAGGTATCTGAAATATACACTGTATTTTTGTTGCATCAGATTTATATGTGATAAATAATAAATTTACTTTTTTTTTTTTTAAATACTATACTTGTCCTACAATTTGTGCTCATTTTAGTAGGCTGCTACAAGGAAAGATTGTTCACCTTTTTGTTCCTTTTGCTAAATCTACAGTCTGACTTTCTGTTTTCATGTTTATTGTATCTCACTGTCTAAATATTAAGCTTTGCAAATGATAATGTTGGTTCTAAAGCACAAACAGCAGGATGATGGGATTTTGTAAGCAAGGTCCTGAAGTCTAAACTACAGACTGCTGAGTTACACACCTTCTAAACTGGAAAAATGTAGTAAAAGTCTGCCTATTATTTGTCTAGAGGTACTACACAAATAAAAATGTTAATATACCTAAAAAACTAATTGTTTATAAAAACAGCAAAATCAACCCAATATGTTTCTCATTTTCCTTTGGCATATCTTCCAATAAGATCTGGCTGTCAAGAGGGGTTTCCATTCATTCCTACAATGTTTTCCATAGCATGGCATCTCAGTGAGGCATATGACAATTTGGCTTTTTTGGCTATGGCATGCCACCATGGCATCCCTCAATCAAAAGCATTGAGTGACATGCTTTTCCTGCACTGCCTGGCATGCAATGTGCAATATGTCAAAAAACACTGCTGCCCCATCCATACTGTGCATTATCAGATTCCTTTTTGTTGTACTGTTTTATTCCACATGCTATTAAATATAGTAGAACATATATTTAGATTGGCCACAGGCACTGAGTAAATGCTTTTGCTCACTTAACAGTGTACTCAATACGGGCACACTCTGCGCTCCAGCAAAGCCCTTTGCATGATATCACCCATGGGAAATGTCCCTGAGCATGGTGAAACTTGGAAAACCTTAGCTTTGAGCAGAGACACTCTTGAATTACATGCTGCTGACACATTTACCTCTGTGTCCCCTCACAGTCAGCCATTCCTAGCTGTCATGCTGGCTCCTGGAGACAGCTGGAAACTGGCATGCTGAGGTGAAGCAGTATTTTGGTTGTTCTAATTATTTCAAGGTATTGGCCAAGACAGTCATGGCTGGCAGAGCTCAAAACTGCTGCCAGTTGCTTTTCCATGCATCATTCTCCTGTACGTGTTTTGTGTACTCTGGGTAAAGCCATGGCTCTGAGCCATTTTCCAGACTCTGCTCATTTGCTTTCCATTCTCAAAAAAGAAAATCTATGACTTCAGGTAAGGTATTTTTGTAAGTGAGATGAGCATGATTATGGTTTTCGCT